TGAAATCCAATTTTCAAACCATCAACTCCCCCTTTTCTTCTCATCTCTCTTTTGACATAGAGTCTGATTTTCGTCACATACTTACCAAATCTAGATTTCTGGAGAGGAGCGAGAGTCGAGTGTGGGGAGGAGGGAAGGGAGAGCATTGTCATCTCATACTCCATGTTCCCAGATTGGAGAATAATTGTGTCCTAGGGATAGGATCGAAAGAGCTATTGCAATGTCGAATGATGTCGTCAGCATCGACAGAAGGAAGAGGGGAAGCGAAGATTCGATTGGAAGGCGAAGGGAAAGGAGAGAAGGCAATGTTTGGGTTCGGAGTGTGGGGGTCAAGGAGGGAATGAAGGAACCAACTCTGTATTTGTTCGGGTTAGTTCTCCGCTTTCTTTCGCTTCTTCTTCCTTCTACTCTTCTATTTTGTTTCTTCTTTATTTAATCCTGTGAGCAGATAAATTTCATAAGGGCAAGGTCAAGAAGGCATTGAACATGCCTGTGCTGACTCCAGTTGTGGAGAAGAGATGCCGAAGGAGGTCGTTGTGGGGGATGAGGCAGGGTGGAAAGCACGCGAGCGTTCTGGTCCAAGGAGAGGAAGAAAAACCACTCAACCGATAGGTTTAGAAATATGTGAGACCGAAGGTTTAGAATATGTGAGCTCGAAGGGTGAAGGGCGAAGATTGAAGCAGTGGGATTCGCTAGAGGGATCTGGGTGCTATGGGCGATGTCTCTCCGCATTGATCAACAGGCGGTCATTAACCACGAGCCAGAAGAAGTCGACAAGAACATGTGATATAGCATTTTCAATAGCTGCATCTTGATAAGAGCAGAAAGGAAAGAAGAGCTAAGCCCTCAATCCTATCCCTAAGTAGCTCCGAGGGTTTCCTTTCCCAACGGAGTACGGCTGACGACAACGCAAGGCCGTGTACCGAAAAGCTGCCACCCAGTATAATGTACCAACGCCTGAATTTGAAGGACGCGACGATGATAGCTACGAAATGTGCACAAATTGGTTCCCCGCTTTCTTTCTCTTCCTATTCCTTCCTGTGTGGTTTCCCCTTTCTCTCTCCATGATTTCTTATTTCATTTTCTCCTTCCAACCACAGACTCCATCAACTATGCATATGGCGATTGACGAATGTCACGCTGTTTGCTACAGGTTTTTGGAGCTGTTCAAAACATAGAGACCTGCAGGCTCAAAGTGCAACCTTAATCTCAGCCTTTTGTTAGTATTTTTCCAGCTGTACACAACGTCCCAGTCGGCATGCTGCTGTTTTTCCAGGATGAAGAGGTATCCGAGAGTTTGAAGAGCCAAGATGAAGTAACCTTGGTAAGTTTCGTGATCTGAATCTCGAATAAGTTGGATTTTCTTTTTCGTGCAGGTTCATGAAAATAGACTTCAGAAAATTAATTTTGAATCGGAAGAGGTAATGGTGCTGTGCATATTAGTATAATTAATTGGCCAGTTTACTTAAGGGGTCCAGTGGGCTACGGGTAGGTACACCATAAGCCTCCTGCGGACTCAATATTGACTGTCGATCCAAGCGATCTTTTTCCAAACTCATGTTTTTTTTTTAATTGGCCAGTTTACTTAAGGGGTTCAGTGGGCTACGGGTAGGTACACCATAAGCCTCCTGCGGACTCAATATTGACTGTCGATCCAAGCGATCTTTTTTCCAAACTCATGTTTTTTTTTTAATTGGCCAGTTTACTTAAGGGGTCCAGTGGGCTACGGGTAGGTACACCATAAGCCTCCTGCGGACTCAATATTGACTGTCGATCCAAGCGATCTTTTTTCCAAACTCATGTTTTTTTTTTTTTACGACTCTTACCTACTCCGATGATTCCTCCCGTCGACCGATTGGCGGCGAGGCAAGTGGCCGCCATCAATTCTTCCCTTCTTTACCTCCAGGCGAAGCTGGGGTCAATGATGGATTGCCTTATTCCCTCTCCCGATCTCTCTCTCGGCTTTTCTCCGATCTTCGTCCTAGCGAAAGTGGGTTTTGTGATGGATCGTGTTTTCTCCTATTTCAGACTAGCTCCAATGGGTTCGGAAGATGGATGCAGGGGGCCTGCCGCCGGCTAGGAAAATCGTCGATGATAGTATCACCGTTAATAATCACCCTGTTTTCCCACTATAACAGTCGTCTTGGCGTTGATCCTTGCATTGTCGGAGATCCTATAGAAGAGGAAGGGGAGAGAAGGGACAAAGACCGCTTCGCCGTCATCGATTCCTCGACCTCATCCTGGCGGATTCACTAGCTTCCCAATCCCAAAATCCAGAACCGTCGTGCTGAAGTAACAAACTTGGGGCTCTCTCTTTTGTTACCGATGGTATTGGGTAATCAAAATAAGAGGGTAACAATCAGGATCGGAGGGTAATTGGAAGAAGCAACCACAATTAGCCGATGATTTCGACATGAAGATGAATAAGAGAAGGATTAGAAGCAAGGAACCAGCACTTTTGCTCACTCATTGAGAAAAGGGGATTTGGATCCCAATTGCATGCAACTGGTCGATTCTCTTTAGTTCGTTTAGGATTATTGATGTCAGATAAAAGAAATCAAAGCAAGGAGAACAGTCACAAAGATAGAGGAGAAGGAATGTATCAAGCTCGGCTGATTGACATTTGTTGCCACCTGTCATTCATCTCCTCCACGTGTAGGAGGTCATGGGTCTTGGTGTAGTGAAAGGGAAGGGAGCCTATGAGATTAGAAAGAAGATTTTAACGGATGCTAATATCAAGTTAGACAAAGTATCAAATCATTACATTTTTATAATATATTTATAGCTAACATGAAAATTGTAAAAAAATGAAAGTTATTTTATACTTTTAGATTAATTTAAGAAGTTATTTAAAATGACAATATGTCAATTTCAATAGTGCATATTTACTAATCACATAACTTGATACTAAGTCGGTCAGTTTTCATTATAAGATAGGTGGAGTCAATTTTAGTTGATCAGATCCAGCCGAGTGATGTACAAGTGACTTCTGATAAAGAAAACTACATATAATTCTATAATAAAAAATTAAGTCAATTTAAAGAGCCATGCTTTTAATATGTTCTGTCATGTTAATTTCCTCAATAACTAAATTATAACAATAATTATCTCCCAAATCCTGCCATTTAGGTTTTAAAAAAATAGATTGATTTACAAATTCAACTTTGTTGGCTTTGGTTCAATGTATTTGTAAGATGATGTATTTATATTTTACAAAGATATCATTTGGTTTAATGTATTCAGGCTTAAAAATATGTAAGAAAGGTTTAAAAGACACTTCGAAGTTGGGAACCAACTTTTATAGAGCGAGTTTTGGTATACTTCCTATCTCTAAGTATTCGAGATCGCAATACTCAAAACATATTAAAGTTATTAACAAAAAATTATGCGATTAATTGAATAATTCAACATTCTATTTTCCAAATTTCGCCTCTATAATACATCCAACCAAATAATCTCATTATCTTTCTCCTAACTGATTTAGTGTTTGAATTATTTATGTGGCAAATGTAAAGGTTCATTTACAAAATTATATATCACAAATGATCAAAGAAATCAAGAAAAAAATATTATATAGAATCCCGCCGCAACGCGCGGGCCAATTATCTAGTGCCAATTAATTTGGAGAACTATTTCCAGTATTATTTCACCAAAGAGGTTGATTTTGACAAAACGATGAATGGGTTTCAGTCACCATCTGTTCCTATGTGTTATCAATCCACTAGAATCAATACCCGCGGCTACGCCGCAGGGAACAAAGTCGTAGTAATTGACACTCCCTATTGTATCTTTTTGAATTAAAAACATATAATATCAGGGAGGAAAAAACCCTTCTCCCATTTCAAATTCCCTGCTCCATGAGCGTTTGTAGGAATGATAGAATAGAGAATGTCAATTTTTTCCTCTTTCCTCTGTGGAACGGGCCAACTTACCGTACACATGCGGATTTAAACGGGTTCAGGAGTGTCAATTTTTTTCATTAAGCCCTTTTATTTCTCCGTGGTGATAAAAATATATATGAAAAAGGCAAAAACAATACTTCTTTTTATTGTTAAAAATAAAAAATTTAATAATAAACTAATGCACGGTATTTAATGGGTTAACCGTTAACCATAAAATAAAAGAGTTCAATTGGCCTGATCTACACGGGATTTGGCCATCAAGTAAAACAAATGAACATCATTGGTTTGACATTCTAAAACAAGCTATTTTCTCTGGCATAATATATATTATGCTATTATTTTATATCTTAGTGGCTAAAATATAATGTATTTTACAGTTATTCAATGGTTCAACCTCGACCAACCCAATTAGTCCAATTTTTATCATTTCAAATATATATTATATAATTATTTGATATCATAATGATCAAATTATAGTGTATTTTATAGGAAATCATTTGGTATTTGTTAGTAAAAAACTAAACAGAAAGATCTATTTGGTTATTTTAAACATTAAAACGATCCTAACATTTTCAGTTCCTTTTGACGTTCTATGGTTTTATTCCCGAATAAGTGATGTGCAAATGGCAAATTGCAGTCATCTCTTTTCTTTCACTATTTTTTATTTTCAAATAGAAAGTTTAAAAGTAAAGAATAATTAGAATTTGGCATGTGTTCGGTCAAACAGGCTGCATTTCAAGTTTTAGCCCGTTTTGATCAAATCTAATTTATAATCACATGATTACCTGATACCCGATAAAAATCTTAATCCAAAACAGTTTGGCAGGCGAGCCCGTATTTGATCCATGGGTAACACGTAAGATCTCCAGTATTGAATAACGTTGTGGATGAATCCCTGGCAACGTACCCAAGGATCCAAGCAAGCGAGCGGGAATCTCTGGAGCTGATTCACAAAGTTGGTCACAAACTGCTATTCAAATGTCTTTTTCCTTTACAGGTGCGAAATAAATCTCAAACTCAACTCCCACTCTTGCCCTAAAATAGCTATTCAGTTCTTCAATTCCCTGCCTAAAGTCGTCACTTTTGGTTAATTTAAACCTCAAAACATCGCTTTCATTAAAGATTGAATCTGATTTGGTCAAATCATTGCGGAAAAAGGCATTCGTACCCAAAAAACACGGGATTCTTTAACTTAAAAAAAAAAAAAGAAAAGTCCATTTCTTAAGGGAAATTTAGTTCTGTCCGAAATCACCGGGTTGGAGAAATGTTCACGACGTAAGTCAGTGGAAGCAAACTACCACCATTTTCTAGGGATACGACAACGACGGTTCCTATCCCAAAACGTGTTGTTCGTTCTTGATTTCCTTAGATTTTATCACGGCCTGAAAAAAACAGAAAGCACAATGACGACAAGATGAAAGTTTTATAAACCAAATTAATCGGCCAACGGGCCGAGTAAAAGCTAGCAACGATTGTGAGATGCTCATTTCCCGAAAACCGTCGGGATAGGCGATTTTTTATTCGATTTTCTGGAATTCAGTTTCTATAAAACTTACTCCACCTTATCATAATACTAGAAACAATATTGTTTCACAAGGTAACAGGTAATTGATTTTGGTTTATAAGACCGATTTTTGATTTGTAGGATCATTAATGTCTCTTTCCTACTAAAAAAAAACTATACAACAATAAGTTATACACCCCATTACATTTTCAAATTTCATACCTCACCTTCCTCGGACCAACTGGCCGGGGCCACTCTAGTAGCATATAAAATTATTAATACAAACACATGCTTCAGTTCAACTGACCAACACACCTAGAAAAATGAGGCGATTTACACAAAGGGCGCACCCTTGACGTACTCGGTGAAGGCTAGGGCGACCAACCCCAGCATGGCAAATCTACCGTTCCACATCTCCGCATCGGAGGTCATCAGGCCTTTCGATTTCGACTCCACGGTGACCCCCTTGAACAGAGGGATCAAGGACGCCAGAGTGAACAGCACGCTGGTGGCAACGAACCAGGTGGAGCCTCCCTCTGAGATCTGGGTGAACACACCTTGTCCCCTGGATAGCTCCACCGCCAAGGCGGCCACAAATCCCACCATCGCCAGCCTGCCGTTGATCCTCTCGGGAGCCGGCCCGCTGAACGCCAACACGTCGCCGAATTTGGTGCTTTTCTTGGGCGCCTGCGGCTTGGACGGAGTGGGAGTAGTAGGGATTTGAGATGTCGTTGGCGGTACAACAGTGGGTTCGCTGCTCTGTTCTGTTTTCTCATCCTGCAAAAAAAATTGTCCAAAAAAATTAAATTAGCCCAGCTGTTCACGGAAAGATTGAGAAGAGCAGCGCGAGCAGGTATTATAAGCTGAGAACTTACCCCGGAGGCCATGCACCTGACGGCATTTCTGCTTAGACGCGGTACACTGGCGATACGAGGGAAGGAGTAGGAGGTGGTTCTGGTTCGGCTGGCCAGGGCTGGGCTGGCGAAAATTGTTTGCAAGGCTGCCGAGGTGAAGGCCATTTTATCGGGAGAGATGTGAAATTGGTTCTATAAGAAACAAAAACAGAAGATAGGGAAACTCAAGCTTCAAGCTTGCAACTTTAGAAAAAGAAGATGGAGAGTAGAGTAAGCTGTTGCACTTCCGTTGAGTGAGCTGTGAGAAGTAGTAGTGGGGCGGGTGAAAGCATATTAAGGGAAAGGAGAAGTGAGGATATTTGAGGCTCCACGTCGAGTGGTATGTTTCCCGGGGAAAAAAAAGTGTGATTGGGGGTCCAAGTGGGTTGGATTGTCGACATATGGTGAAAAGGGGATGACGTGGTTAGTTTGGGCGCCTTCCATGGCTGCTCGGACCCCAGTGCCAAGTGGAGGAGGAGGAGGAGCAGGAAAACGAAGAACTTGAGGCCAGCATTGGTCCTGAAGATTTTCTTCTAGGCTAGAAGGTTTAGGGAGTTTTGCATATTCTTCCTTCCAGTTCCAGTACATTCTGGTTATCGGTCTTGAAACTAGGGATGACAATTTCTTACTATTAATCATATCAAAGTAAACACCTTGATTATGAGAAGGGAATGAGTGAAGTATATATTGGTGTGAGATTTGTTGATACTTTAAATGGACATAAATTAGGTATGAAGATAAATTTACTTGAAGTTATTTTATTTTAACTACCCGTACAAAAATTTGACCTATTTGTAAAATTAAAAAAGTTTAGATACCAAACAATAATTTTCATATTAGTATGGGTACAAATACAAATTCATAAATTAAAATTTCAACCCAAATAAATAATGTATGACTATAAGCTCATCAAAATCTACTTCCTCCAATAATATATAGTAGAGTTTTGTCTACTTTTCTCTATTTCGAATTTTTTGCAACGAGAGGAAAAGTAGGAAGGACATTTTTGTATTTACAATTCATTATTTATTCTATATAAGAAAAGCCAATATAAGGATTTGAACTCCGGTCTCAGCAAACAAAGACAACAATCACAACCAATTACAGTAAACAAATTTGTTGTTTCTTTTTTAATACAAAACATACACGAAGTAAAATTTTGAAAATCGAAGGACTTTTCCATCATGATTAGCAAGTCCACTACGTCTACTGTATGTATTTTTATGGTGTTTGATACTGCAATTTTCATAGTAGAGTTTCATGTGGTTTTCTCAATTCTAAAATTATTGCTCCTTCCTTAATTTTCGCTAAAGGTGAATTGGTAATTGGCTAACATGTAAGAAACTAATTCTATTACTATGTGTTGTGTCTTTGCATTTTTTCATTTATATTTAAATTTAGTACTTTTTTTTATCTTTGTTCTTATCTCTTTCTAACTTCCACCGAAATTCCCTCCATCGTGCAAATAGTTTGCGCCCTTTTCACTTTACAATACAAGGACGCATATGAAAATCAATCTTCCGGTATCTCTTGTCACTACGATTTTATTGTTTGAGGATTTAAACTGGGCAAATAGAGGATTTCAACTCCGATATCAATCCATGGCGAATAGAATGGAGTTGCAGAAGGAGGATTATAAATTGAATTTTTTGTTGAAACATACGCCTCTTGAGATTGAAGATAGAGTGGATAAAAATTTGATTGTATAACGGAGAGTGGTGGCTATTGGATCTTTAGGTTTATGATTTTTGCAGCTATCACAACCTATTTCTATCTTAAAACGAGGAATCATTTATTGGTTTACTGAAGTAGGTCGGTCGATTCTTTATTCAACCTACTGGAACTGATAAAGAAGGAGTGTCTAATTTTGTTCTTTATTACTTTGATCGAGTCTATTAGTATATTGGATGTAACCCTAATCTTGGAGTTTTGCTCTCAAGTTTTTATGGTCCCCTCTTAGTTGGGTTGTTAGTATATAGTTGACTTGAGTAAGCAACTCTCTATCTCTTTTTGATTAGTGGCATATTGTTCCTAAAAGGAGAGCATTGAACATTTATGTAGGATTGCGAGGTTAAAGATTTAGTTTCAAATTATCTAATATTCGTGTGGGAGTTTCAGTGAGCTTTTATACTCTATCTTTCTTGACAATCAACTAACCGATAGCACTTTACTGGAATCTTAATTATCATTATGAAAATGAGATCAATGATTTATATTCTTAAATGATGATATTTGTCCAAATGTAGGACCTATATATTCTTTCTTTATGTATCATCTCAATTGAAGGATTGTCAATAAAATTAAACGGGTTAATTGCATGGTTGGTCACTGAGATTATAAAAAACGTTCAAGTTTGGTCACTCGAAATATTTAAATCAATTGATAGTACTTCAGTTTACTGAAATCGTTCACATTTTGTCACTATCTGTCCAACTCCGTTGACTTTGGTTGATGTGGCAGTCAACTCTCAAACTTGACCGTTAAATGTATGACGTGACAATTTAAAATAATAAAATTAATTTAAATCGTCATCACATTTCCACCTTATTATCATTTTTATTTAAAATAAATAAAAAACCTTAATTTCTTCTAATCCCAATACCAATATCCGGCCGGCAGCATGCCCCATCGTCGCGTGGTCCAATAGGTCGGCAATCGACAGGTACTAGGAGTGGGCATGCGGTTCGGTAAACCCGAACCGAACCGAGCTGAACCCGAATTCAACCAAACCAAAACTGAACTATTTATATTCGGTTCGGAATTCGGACATAAATAATGGGTATTTCGGAACCCAGGGTTGTCATCACCGAACCCGAATTCCGAAATCCGAACCGAGTCCTAAGCCCACACACTAACACCCCACCACTCTGCCCAACCCAATCTCTCACAGCCTTAGCCCTAAGCCCACTCACCCACAACAAATATACAACCTCCACAGCAGCCATACCTCATCGTCACCCACTCACCCTCCTCGCCGACCAATCTCCCCTCTCTCAGTTCTCTTCTCTTCAACTAGTGTTTGCCACTTAAACCAAGAAAATCAAACATAAAAACCCACATGCATCAAAATAGGAAAAGAATAGGTCGAGATGAAGAGAAGGTTGATTGGGGAGGTGCAAGGATCTTCGCCGTCGCCGCCGCCGCGTTGTTCACTGCGTCAATCGCCATCGTTGTTGGCGCTGCCGCCGTCTTGTTCACCATTACAATATAATTGTTTTCCAGAAATACTGCTTCTAGTAAGTCTCTGGAGTCTGGATACAAAGTTTCGTCCAATTTCCCCCTGCCAATATCTCATATTTTGATGGAGGCACTGAGTTCAATGTGAATGCCTACTGAGAATTTTCAGGTAAGCAAATGAGTTGGACACAAAGTTGTCAACTGGGTGAGACCGTTGGTCTACCCCAAATGCCACCTCTTCATTAAAAGCCAGGAAGTAAAATTAGAAGTTCGCTGGAGTTAAGCTGATCAATTACCATATATGCATAAATTGTTGTATCCTATTTAGTATTTACTACAAAAATACGGTAAGACATTGCATCAATGGTGTTGACACCTAAAATTAAGTTGGCCGAAATTAAATGCCGCAGTAATTAGTCTCGGCATTTAATTCGATATTGCACGTAAAAAACAGTGTCGCATAGAGACAAGCAGCATCGCGGAGAGTTAAAACGATACCGCGAAATAAAAAACGGTACCGCAAGGATGCTCAGCGGTACCGCGACACTGGAAACGACATTGTTTGCCGGAAAACAAGAGGTGGGCCGCGTGTGTAGCATTGGTGTTGGAAAAGGAGTATTTTATTATTATTTTTAATTATTATCTTTATTCCTTGTCGGAAGGGGAAAATCGGTACCGCATGGAGACAACGGCATCGCGGAGAAGTAAAACGGTACCGTGGATTTAAAAATGATGTCGCGAGAGCCTGGTAAGCGGTACCGATTAATTAAACCAAAATTCTCCTAGTCCAATGCGAGTGCCGATTGGCGGCGGTTCCATGGAATATTTTCGACTATATCAGTGGTGTCGTTTAAATTCAAAACAGTACCACGAGTAGGCCCAATGGTTCCGTTGTACTAGCAAACGACAGTGTTTAAAATAACAAACAATGTCGCGTAAGGAAAAGCAAACGGAGCAGTTTTGGCGCTAATGATGTCGTTGGTCAACACGCGTGGATTGATCAATTAATATTTTAATGAGTGTTTAGGACGGTGTCGTTTAGTTGAAAACGATGCCGCAAGAGGAAAGAAACGACACCGCGGATTATAAAGCAATACCGCGAGTAGGCCAAACGATGCCGCAACAGTTAAAATGACAGTGTTAAAATTAAAACAATGTCGCGAAGCTCAAAAGCTCAACGACCTCGTGGGAAAAGGAAACAATGTTGTTTAACTAAGAATGGTGCCGAGGGGTGAGAGTTTGACGGCGAGTTAACAATGTGGGATGGATTAATTAATTAGTATTTGTGATTACTTTAGACGGTATCGTTTAAGGAAAAGCGATGTCGCGGAAAAAGTAAAATATACCTCGGTAGTGGGTAAGTGTTCGGCCAAAGGCGACCCGCCAAGCACAACGGCGGCGCAAGAGTAGAGAACGACGTTGTTTGATGGACTAAGAGTGAAGACGTGGGAGACGTGGGAGACAAAGGCGCGAAGATAGTTACTACGACGAGGAGAAGCGCGAAGTATAAAGATTGGGAAGAGAGAGAAGCGAGGGAAGGCAAAATCAAATCTCAAACTGCACCGTCGCAGATCTATCAGTTTATCTCCGTAGTTTCGTAGAACCGCTCTGTCAAAGACCTCCTCTGCAGAGTCGTAGTAGTTGTAGTCATAGTTGCGGAGCTCTCCAGAGGAACCTCCATAGGAGTAGAGGTAACGTAACTTAGAACTCCTGGTTCGATTTTCTGGTTATTCGCCGAACACCCTCGTTCGAACATAGTTTGGAGAGGTGGTGAACTGAATAACAGTTGTTTGATTAGAAGTCAAAGGTGTATCGATCAAATCAACATCGCCGACGCCGGCGGTGGATATTTGACGGTCGTCCTGAATTCTGTTTTAATCGATCAAATCAACGGCGCCGACATTCGGCGGCAGATATTTGACGGTTTTGCTGACTGTGTGTTTGTGCTTACTTGAAAACAGTGCGCATTGAACACGCGAGTTTCGCCAACGAAACAAATGGTAGGGAAAAAGGCTTACTGGACAGCGGCATCCATCACCGTCTTTACTTCTACCATTTTTTGCCTAAATGTCAGTTTGCACTTGAGGCTCCTCAATCCCAGCCTTTGCAGGCTTAATTGCATCATAAGTGGCGTTTCACATCACATTCAACAAAGGGAAAACAAAACCAGAGAGGAAAATATGTTGATGCTGAGAAAACCTATTATCAGATCAAGGATAAAAATGATTAAATAACTAAGAAGTAAACCTGCTATTACTTATAAATATTGTTACATTCTGCCTCATAAAAGAACCATGGATGAACAAAGCACAGAAATAACAATTCCACTTTCCAGACAATGCAGAGGAATTGTGACATCACAACTGTCAAATTGTAATGGACACAGGGCTGGGAGAACTGAAAACAAATCATCAAATCACGTCTGAATACTCATCAGATCCTTACCTTTTTTACTGTTCTTCAATGACTTTTGTTTCTGACAAAATCCGAGAGTCGAGTTCAGTGTAGGAAATTAGACGGCTGCTACAGAAAAGGAAGACCTTCATAGCCTTCTCACCACATTCCCCATTACCATATTCCAAAAGCACGAAGTTGAAGCAAGCACCAGACATCTTCATCCGCAAGGGCAGAATAAAGAGGTACCCAGTTAGAAAGCAAGCAGGCAGGCAAAAGCAAAACAAAGTGGTAGAATGATATCCTAAACCAAAGATGCTGAGAAAATAAAGCTTACCGATTCGTTGTCCCAAGTCCCCAGTACAAAGTTTTTGGAGAGACTGGAATTTGCAACCTGCTCTATTCTCTCTTGCTTCTTCCTCGACGTTCCTTTTCCTGGCTCCATGGGTATTTCAGGCTAGCTCGATGCCAAGGGAATCCAATATTGTCTGCTGTTTTCACCATTTTGCACCTAATCAACAAAATTGAGAAAGAAAATGAGAAGCATATCATTAAAGAAAACAACTTAAACTTCTAAATACAACTCAAGAATTGGATTTGATAATCCTACATCGGTACGTAGCCTCATATAACAGATGAAAACTGTATAGGAGGACAAAGTAGATAGAATATTACAATAATGAAGCACTGAACTGAACAACTCATAGGTCATAATAGAGTTGATCTGCCATTTGGATCTTAATTTACCTTGGTATAACTATCACAATGGTTTACTAACAATCTTAAGGAGCTGAAGCTCTCTCTGTGTCATGCTCTTTGATGTGTAACTAAGCCTATTGTTTCACCACGGTGTAGAGTTGAAATGGATTAAAAATAAAAACAAAATAGGATAAGTAAGGTCTTAATATGACTTTTATGTTTCCTAGAAATTTCCCAATGTATGATATACATATAGGTGTGTTTGCAATCTAGCCCTTCACGTAGATTTCAAGTCGTCTAGATAGTTTGCCTGATCTGTTGGATAGACTATACCATACAAAAGCAGTGAACACGTTTACAGAGAAAGGGAAATGAAAAAAATATTAATTTTAAATAGCTAGTCGGAAATTGAGTCATTTCAACATGGCAGCGGGCAAGATAAGAGGCTGTAGAAGCACACGGCCGAAAAAATAGCTGTAGATCAATCCAAATCATCCCAATGGAGAGGTGAGCTCACATGACTTTAGCTTGTAATAGTCCTACCATCTAATTACCTTAAGTATAGCATAATTAGGAAATGGCATAGGATACAGCTCTATCTCAAACCATTGATGCTTCCTGCCTTCCTCATCCAACCCAGCCTGCAGACCACATGATAGACCGTTAATTACACATGTTTTTACCCATGTTCTTACACCGTTTGAGGTGTTGATTCTCGTGTTTTAGGCCGATTTCACGCTAGGTTGTGCTTGTTTGTGATATTTCAGGTCCTAGTACGTGAATGGAGGCTTGGGAGCGAGTTTGGGGTCGATTGGACGAAGATCGAACGCGTGGCGAGGTGCTAAGGAAGCCGCACGGGCATTCCTGGACATCACACGGCCGTACAACTCACATTTGTGACCGTGTGATTTTCGCCGAGAGCAAACACGGGCAGGATGGAAATCCCACATGACCGTGCGACCCTGGCCGTGTGGGAAGCCTGAATTTCGACTTAATGATACGCCGCGTTTTGACTCACACGGGCAACTGGGTGAGCCACACGGCCGTGTGGCCTGCGCGTGTGAGTCGGGAAATCTTGGTTTTTCAGCCAATTTCGAGCCACAAGTGAGAAGATCGGACTTTTTGAGCAAAAACAGAGCCCTAGAGAGAGAAAGGACGAAGAACACATCCTAGAAGCTATATTGGAGCTGGGTTTCATCAAATCGAGTTTGGAGATCGTCATAGGAGTGGAAATCATCATCCCAGAGCAGATTCTTCCCATTGTATGAGTATGACTGCTTTGTACCTTGTTTTCCTCTCTCTCTCTCTATGGAGTAGAACCTCTCTCTCACTTGGGGATGAAGAACCCTAGTTCTATGTGTTAGGGATTGATTGTAATGACTTTGGATGATATTACTGTTTGATTTTAATCGAATGATGTATGTTTATTGAGTCAGTTGAAGTCTGATCAACTTTTCCTGATTCCTGCTGCAATCTGAGATAGATAGAATCTGATTAGGTTGCCAGAGTCTCATCATTCGGTAGTAGGAGATTGGCTATACGAGAGTTAGCCAGTTTACTGCTTTGTACTGGAATCCAATTCCAGTAGTGGAGTTCTGTTCTTACTGCTTCAGCTCTCTATCCCGGTGAAGACTAGTCGTCTGCCGGGTAGTTAGACTGAGAGGGCTTGGTCAGCTTAAGAGATTCCAAGCTACTGTCGGATCTTCCGCAGTCTAATCAACAGTAAATCAACCCAGGGAAATACAATTGAAACCTAACTAAGGAGCTAGGGGGACTCATTCCCGAGTGACTCTTACCTGCTTGAGAAAACCGTACCAATTCCTGCTTTCTTTCTGCTTTTGCTTTTACACAACAAACACTTAACTTAGTTGGCTAGATAATAGAGAATCATTGAGTAAGCAGTAGATCTAGACCCCGGGTTGATAATATAACTTGTCACTTTACTGCATTCCCGGACTGTGATTATAATTGGTCGCAGTTTGGTGTTGTGTTTTAGAGCATCAAGTTTTTGGGGCCGTTGCCGGGGAATTTCTAGGTTATTGGGGAAACGTGAAAATCTGTTACTCTAGCTTTTTATTTACTGCATTTTATCTCTTCCACCTGTGTGCCTTCACGGGTTGCTTCTGCTGATTGTGTGCAGGTAGTGCATGACCCGTAGCCAGTCGGGAGATCTACTACCATTAGACCAGGAGCTTGAACGAACCTGTAGAAACTTCAAGCGGGCTCTAAAGGCGCGACTGGCTGCGGAGGAGGCGCTAGCACAGCTACAGATCACTGAAGAAGAGGAGATGACTGATCCACAGGACCATGATGTGGTCAATCCCGAGGAGCAGACCATGGGACATTACTGGACCGCCAGGGCTGCAGACATGAGGTCACCCATTCAACACCCTCATGTCCCAGCCAATAATTTTGAAGTGAGCACCTCAGTAATCACCATGCTGCGCGGTTCAGTGATGTTCCGTGGCAAAGAGGGGGAGTGCCCCCGATCACATCTCAGGCGATTCCACGAGCTCATTGATGTAATCAAGATCAATGGGGACCCCGCAGATGCCATCCAGTTGAGGTACTTCCCGTTCACCCTGGAGGGGCAGGCCAAGGAGTGGCTAGACACTCGACCTCCGGGCTCCATCACCATGTTCGCCAACCTGGCGGACAAGTTTCTCACCCGCTACCACCCTCCATCCAAGACGGCGGACCTGCAGAAGCAAATTACCAATTTTGCTCAGGATGAGGATGAGACCATCAGGGATACTTGGGAGAGATACACCAGTCTCTTCCTCAAGTGTCCCAACCATGGTTTTACTGATGCTTTCAAGGTGGGAACCTTCAATCATGCTCTCTTCCCGGAGGACAAGCGGCTGATTGACTCGGTCTGTGGCGGGAATATGCTCACCAAAACGCCGCCACAGCTGAATCAACTTTTTGAAGAGATGGCAGAGCAGGGATATGATTGGGGCACTTCCAGGAGACCGAGAAGAGCACCAGGGCGGGGTGTGCATGCTGTTGCCACCCAGTCATATGATTTGGTGTAGGTGGTATCAAAGCTAGTTTCAGCTATAGATCGCTCTGGATTGATTACAGGTACATGACAGCCGCAGGCGATGCACTGCCAGTGGTGTGAGAGCTCCCATCACACCGTGGAGGACTGTCAGGCGATGAGGGAGTCATCTACTCCCCAGGAGCAGGTGGACTTCATCAGCAATGCCAGGCGCTTCGACCCCTACAACAACACTTACAACGAGGGGTGGCGCCAGCATCCCAACTTCAGCTGGGGTGGGGCAAATTCCAGACCACCAGTCCCCCAAGGACCACCTGGCTTCCAGAGGCCTCCTTACCAGCCCAGACAAGGACAATTTCAGCAGCCACAACAGCCACTCTACCCGCCCAGACAGGGGCCAGTTCCACCTTAGTCACAGGTGCAGCCATTTCAGCAGACAGGGGCAGCACCTGCAGCCCCAGCTCAGAGTGACCCGATGGCGGAACTGCGAGATCTGGTGGGTTCTCTGGCCACCTCCAGTGCAAACAAGTTCAACAACATCGAGCAGTTCATGGAGAAAGCTTCAGGCAAATTCATGGAGCTAGAAGCTGGTCAGAGAAACACGCAGGCTGTTCTTCGGGATATCCATACCCAGCTTGGGAGTGTTGCCCAGGCTGTAGCTAAGAGGCCTCCTGGTACTCTACCCGGTCAGACCATCCCTCACCCGCAGAACCCGAATGAGCACTGCGGGGCCATTACTACCAGGAGTGGCAAGGTGACTGCCAATCCACCTGTTTGGGCAGAAGAGAGAGAGACCCCTGCTTCAGCACTTCCAGCTAATGAAGATGAAATAGAGAAGGAGGTTGAGGTGCCTGCTCCTAAACCGCAACCAGTGGTGAAGGAGTATGTACCCCAACTCCCCTTTCCTACTCGGTTGCACAAGGACCGACTGGATACTGAGTTTGCCAAGTTCATGGCAATGCTGAAGCAGGTGAATATAAGCATGCCCTTTGTGGAGGCATTATCGAAGATGCCCAAGTATGCCAAGTTCATGAAAGATCTCCTCACCAACAAGAGGAAGCTTGGGGAGCTGTCAACGGTGATGCTCAACGAGGAGTGTTCTGCCATCCTGTAGAATAAACTACCAGAGAAGCGAAAAGACCCAGGGAGTTTCACTATCCCTTGCATGATTGGTAGTTTGCATATAGGGAAGTCCTTGGCGGATTTAGGCGCTAGCATTAATGTCATGCCATATAAACTGTTTAAAAAGCTAGGCCTAGGTGAACCCAGTGATACTAGGATGAGCATTCAACTTGCTGATAGATCCATTGTGCATCCTAGGGGCATTGCAGAGGACTTGATAGTCGCAGTAGGGCCATTCTCTTATCCTGTTGATTTTGTGATTTTGGACATAAATGAGGATGTGGATGTGCCATTGATATTGGGTAGACCTTTTCTCGCCACCGCCAAGGCGCTCATTGATGTGAATGATGGAAAACTGATTTTGCGAGCTGGGGGGTGAACAAATCACCTTCTCTGTTTCTGATAATATGAAACACCCCCAGCTCCATGATGATCTAGATTACTGTGATGTTGTTGTTGATTATGAGACCGCACTCGCCATCACGAGTGCGGGTACTGATGATTTCCTTGAGCGTTGTCTTTTGCTAGGGGAACAGGCATCACAGGACATGCAGTTGGAGGAGCAGCTCGCGGAGCTAGACGAGGCCATGATCGAGGGGCGAGAGATACCATTCAAGCCGATCCCTATCTTGCCCCGGATCGCTACATCATTGGAGGAGCCACCAGAGCTGGAGCTTAAGCCCCTCCCCTCTCACCTGGAGTATGCATTTCTCCGGGAGGGGAATAAGCTCCCGGTCATTATTAGCTAGGATCTGACACCCAAGCAGAAGAGCAGGCTGGTGGCTTTGCTGCAGAAGTATGCCCGGGCCATGGCATGGAAGATCACAGACATCAGAGGCATTAGCCCATCCTTCTGCTCCCACAGAATCCTGATGGAGGATGAGGTTAAGCCAGTCAGGCAACCGCAGAGGAGATTGTCTCCTAACTTGGAGGCGGTGGTCCGGGCAGAGATTGTGAAGCTCATGGATGTAGAGATCATCTTTGCTATATCTGATAGCAAGTGGGTCAGCCCCACTCAGGTGGTCCCGAAGAAAGGCGGAATGACTGTGGTCCCAAATGAGAAGAAAGAGCTGATCCCGATGCGCACCGTGACCGGCTAGAGAGTCTGCATCGATTACCGGCGCCTGAACGACGCCACCAGGAAAGATCATTTTCCCCTACCTTTCATTGATCAGATGCTGGAGAGATTGGCTGGGCATGAGTTTTATTGCTTCCTGGATAGCATGTCTGGTTATTTCCAGATTCCTTTTGCACCAGAGGATCAGGCGAAGACCACATTCACTTGCCCCTTCGGCACTTTTGCTTACCGGAGGATTCCATTCGGGCTGTGTAATGCACCGGCGACCTTCCAGAGATGCATGATGGCGATCTTCGACAGACTGGTCGGGGAGATCATGGAAGTCTTCATGGATGACTTCTCGGTTTATGGAGACTCCTTCTCTCATTGTCTCCATAACCTGGAACTCGTTCTGAAGAGGTGTGAAGAGACGAATCTGGCACTCAGCTGGGAGAAGTGCCATTTTATGGTCCATGAAGGGATTGTGCTCGGGCACAAGATCTCCAAGCAGGGGATTGAGGTGGATCGCGCGAAGATTGAGACGATCAGTAAGCTACCTCCTCCCGTTTCTGTGAAGGGGATTCGTAGCTTTTTGGGTCATGCAGGCTTCTACCGGCGCTTCATTAAAGATTTCTCGAAGATTGCCCTGCCTTTGACCAAGCTGCTGGAGAAGGATGCACCATTCCAGTTCACTCCCGAGTGCACAGCTGCATTTGAGACTCTGAAGGAGAAGCTGACCCGTGCCCCTATCATGGTAACTCCTGACTGGTCTTTCCCTTTTGAGCTGATGTGCGATGCGAGTGATTATGCAGTCGGAGCAGTTCTGGGTCAAAGACGCGAGAAGCACTTCCAGCCCATCTACTACGCGTCGAAGACCTT